TCCAAAAGTTAAATTTGAAGGATTTGGCCATTTTGCCACCATGGGGGAGAGTCTGCCTGACACACAGAAGAGCACAGCAGAACCAAGAGATAGAGAGATTTCTAGCATCTGGATCCAGCCATACCTGAAGCCAGTGTCCCTTGACTTCTCAATTATCAGAGTCTTTACATTTCCTTTATTTAAGCTAGTTCAAGTTTAGTTTTGTCATCTGCAACTAGTACAATTACCTATACTGTGTCTAAGGCCAAGACCTTGCCCCTGACTCCAGACCCTCCTAGACAGCGCCATTTGGCTCTGCCAAAAGCTAAGGGGATCAACTTCTCCCCCTCTTATGTTTTACACTCTGTTGGTGGAAGCATCACCCACCTGATCTGAAAACTTAACAGTCATCCTCTATTCTCTCTCCTCCTATCTCACACTGCCCGCAATTCTTAGTCACCAAGTCTTACAAACTTTAATTTGTGGACATTGTTCAGACCTGCACCCTCCTTTCCATCTCTCCTGCCCACACCAATCCTTCATTATCTCTTACCCAAATTATTACAAAAGCAATACAAAACCAATCCACAGGTGTACAGTGAAAAGTCAATTTCCTTCGCACCCTTGTCCCCAGCCACCCTCCCCAAAGGCATCTACTGTTACTCTTTCTTATCTGTCCTCCCAGAAGTTTTAATATCTCTGTATGTGCCTCCCTTTTGAGAATTGAAAATGAAAGAATTTTCAGAACATTGCATTTTTCTTCACTGAGCTTGAAGTTTGTTTCATATCAGTAACAATTTTTTCTTTTAATGGCTGCATAGTATTCCCAGGATAGATATCTTATAATTTGTGTAACTTCTCTTCTATTGATGGATATTTTAGTTGTATTCCACTTGTCTATCAGCACATAACAAAGTCCCCAAAACCTACTGGTATAACGTGACAACCATTTTTTTTTTTTTTTTTTTGAGACAGAGTCTCACTCTTTTGCCCGGGCTAGAGTGCCGTGGCATCCGCCTAGCTCAAAGCAACCTCAAACTCCTGGGCTCAAGCAATCCTTCTGCCTCAGCCTCCCGAGTAGCTGGGACTACAGGCATGCGCCACCATGCCCGGCTAATTTTTTCTATATATTTTTAGTTGTCCGATTAATTTCTTTCTATTTTTAGTGGAGGCGGGGTCTCGCTCTTGCTCAGGCTGGTTTCGAACTCCTGAGCTCAAAAAATCCGCCCGCCTCGGCCTCCCAGAGTGCTAGGATTACAGGCGTGAGCCACCGTGCTCGGCCCATGACAACCATTTTATTACGCTTGTGGGTTCTGTGTGTCAGGGATTCAGGCAGGGCGTAGCGGGGCCAGTTTGTCTCTGCTCTACAATGTTTGAATCTTCAGCGTGGAAGACTTAAAGACCTGAAGGTTTGAAGGCTGAAGCTGAATTGAATGGCTGGAGACTGGGATCATCTGGATGCTTCTTCACTCACTTGTCTGATGCCTGAACTGGGATGACTCAAAGGCTAAGCTCAGCTGGGACTGTGGTGCCTTCACCTGGCCTCTCCACGTGGTCTTGGCTTCCTCACAGTGAGGCAGCCTCCAGGTAGACAGACTTCCTGCGTGATGCCTCAGGGCTCCCAGAGCTAGAGTGCCAGCAGAAGTTGCATATGCTTTTATGTCCTAGTCTTGGAAATCAGAGCGTCACTTCCACCATGCTCTGTTGGTTGAAGCAGTCATCAGCTCACCCAAGGTTCAAAGAAAGGGTACAAAGATCCCACCTCTCTACAGAGGAGTGCTAAAGAATCTGCAGCCACGTGTTAACACCACCAAAGGTTATTTCCAATCTTTTGCTGTTGTAGTTCATTTTACACCCTAACATCTCTTAAATCCATTCATTTCTCTGCACCAGACCAAGACACCATCATCTCTGATCTGGAGCATCCTCACTGGTCTCTTGCAGCCACTCTTGTGCCCTCCATTCTGTTCTCCTGAGAGCAGCCAGAGGGATCTTTTCAGAGTGCAGATCAGATCGCATCCCTTCCCTCTTACAACCCTTCCGTGGCCCCCTCACCACTCTTGGGCTGAAGTCCAAACTCCTTACCTTGGCTTTCAAGGCAGTGCAGGGCCTCACTTCTGCCTGCCTCTCCAGCGTCCTCTCCTGTCACCATTCAGGACCTTCAGTTTGAGTTGCAGGAGTTCTTCCCACCTCTCACCCACCCCACCCACCCACAGTTAAATGAGTAAGGAGTACACAAAAAGCACTTAAGCCCTTTGCACATAATGAACATCATATGTTTGCTACTACTATTAGTCTGTGGTCAGTAAACTCTTAATTAGCTGCATACTCAGTGCCAAGCTCTATGCAAGGCTCTCAGATACAACAGTGAACAAGAAAGATGTGGCCCTGTCTTGCAGAGCTCATTCATCCCTCTGTCCCCAACCCCTAGCACAGGAGAAACACAATGAATTTTGAAGGCATGACAGCATGTTTGTGCAATGGTGCTTGATGAAGTTCAGAGAGGCACAATGACTTTCCCAAGACCACACAGCAAATGTGGGACAAAACCAAGGCTGAGAGCACATGACAGGCATGAAGCAGACACAGATGCCTGGCACTGGGAGATGGGCAGTTGGCACACACTGCCCAAGGCAGAACTGGGAATGGATTGGGAAGGTAAAAGAGAGGCTGTCTCGTTGGCTCCTTCCAAAGGGGAAAGGGTGAGTCCCTTCTCTCCAACGCCTCGTCCCCCACCCCAGCTCCCTTCTCAAGGGAAGTGGGACCAATCCTAACAAGGGAAGGGACTCACAGAGGAAAAGAGGATGGATCAGTGAGGGATAAGGGGCTCCTGATGCAAGCAGGAGGAGACTTGCCGGTAGGCGTCCCTTGAGAGAGGTGGGCTCAGCGAGGGGTCGGGGCGCAGAGAGAGTGAGATGGGACTCTGTGATCAGGGTGGGGGCTCGGTGAGCAGATCTGGGTTTCTGTACTGAGCTGGGGGCTCCATGAGGGGGATGGAGCCCAGAGAAGACCCTGAGGACACAGTGAGGAGATGAAGACTCAGTGAGGGGATGCGTCTGAAATGAGAGGGGTGGGAAATTGACCGAGTGAGTTTCAGGAACTGCATGAGGTGGAGGGGCCTAGGGAGGGGGGGGGGATCTCCGTCAGGGCCTGGGGTCTCAGGGAGAGAGAAGGAAACTCTGGAAGGGGCAGGGGCTGGGGGAGCTGCAAGGGACCGCTAGCTGCAGAGCCGGCCCCTGGGGCGGGCCGGCGCCCCCTCCTCCTCCCGCCCGCGGATCACCCCCGCCCCGGACTGCGGCGCAGGCGCGAACCGAACCTGCTTTTGCTCTGCTCCCGCTCGGGTTCCCGCTTGCTCGGCGGAGACAGCAGGGAGAAAGGTGAGCTTCGCCCTGCTCCACGCGCCGCCTGTTCCTCTCCCCCCAGAACCCTCGCCCTCCCCCTGCACCCCCAGCCCCCGCGGTGTCCCGCCCGGGGCGGGACGCCTGCACCTGAGCCTTGGGCTTTGGGAGGTGGGGTCTCGGGGAACTAGCAGGGGCTAGAGATAGCACCAGCCCCATTGCCCTTCCACACCTCAGGGTTGACAGCCTGGGCGGAGACTTCAAAGGACAAGACCATCCCTCCACCTGTAACTAAAAACCCATTCCTACTCCCCTCTGCCTCAGTTTCCCTCTAGGGGAAAGGACGCAGTTAATCTCGACCCCGGGGACCGGTAGTTAGTGAGAAAGAGTGGGGCGGGGGGTGGTGGCTTGATTTCCCTTGCTACCCAGCCCTCCAGGAGGGCGCCCCTTCTCCCCGCTGGGCAGCCCCAGACCCTGGAGTGGGAGGGTCAGGGGGTCTGGGAAGGAGAACGGAGTGAGGCCGTGCAGAGACAGCAGATTCCATCCAGCCGGGGGCCCTCGCGCCCGTCACCTTCGCGTACGCCTCCCTCCTCTGTTTCGCCGCCGCAGTATCCCCCCTGGGACAACGCAGCCCCCTCCTCTTCCTGTTCCCTCCCCACCAAGCTCCTCCCCTCTCCCGGCTAGGGACACCTCCCTAGCGGTTCCCATGGCAACCCTGGTCCCGGCATCTGCTCCCGGTCCTCGGCACCCTTTCCCCTCTTCCCCACCCCGCCCCGCCCCGGCTAGACCTCCTTCCTGCAACCCTAAAATGGGAGGGGGGGGCTAGGCCTAGGGGGAGGCACCGTCAAGGTCACCTTCCTTCTCCAGTACCCGCAGGGTTGAGTGATTATATATTGCGAGGGAGGAGGAGCGGTGAATTGGAGAGGAGGAGCTGACCCGGCCGACAGTCCCTGAGTCCCGTCCCCGCCCCCTCACCTGCGGTCTTTAATTAAGGGTCTCTGCACTGAGGCTCCGATGGCCCCCCGGACCCCCATTCGCGCTCACCACCCGACCTCCGTAGGGATTGGAGGGCCCATCTGATTGGTGCCGTACCCTTCAGAAGCAGCATATTGTTCTATTTTGTTTGAAGCTGCTCAAGGGGAGAGGGCCATCGTGGGGGTGTGGCTCAGAAGCCCCATTCTTCTCCAGCAGCTCCTGGCTTTGGTTTTAGCCATACCTGTGTATGGGTACACAGGTACCTTCCCTTCCCAAAGCCTCAGTGTCCCCTTTTGTGAAAAGGAGTTTCTTAAATAGGTTTCTCTGGGAATCCAAAAGCCCTTAAGTCTAAGAGCGCCTAATCCTGAGGGCCCCTGACTTTGACCTCCCATGGAGTCAAAATTCCTTGGAATTTGGAGGCTGATAACGGGTAGCCCTGGGGATGGACCTTTTTAGGGCCTCGTAGCTTGGAGACTCCAGCCTTATTGGACAAGTGTCAGCTATGACAATTAGAGGGGCCATGAAGGGGAGTAAGCGTTTGGGGGGAGGGGAAGAAGAGGATCTCTCACTCCAGACACGGGGCCCAAAAAGTTCAGGATGAAAATAATTAACAAAGAAATTACAGTAATAATCACAACAGCTACCATTTCTCAGCACCAGACACAATAACTGTGTGAAACAGGTATGGTTATTAGCCCTGTTTTACAGATGGGGAAACTGAAGCTCAGAGAGGTGAAAGCATTTGTCTGAGGTCACACATCCAGGAAGTGGCTGCCCTTGGATTCCAATCCAAGTGGTCAGGCTCCAGAGAACACAGTTCCAGCCGCTGGCGGCCTCCAGGGTAAACGTGCACATTTACTGACACCTACAACCGCCAGGCACCGGGCTAAGCACTCTGGTGCATTGGCTCATTCATTCACAGTGCACTTAAGGAAAGACGGGCTAGGATTCCAGAAGGCCAGGGTGTCTAGGGTGGGAGGAAAAGCGAGTGGGGCACAAATGTTTGGGGGGTTGGGAGGGTCACCATGGCAGCTCTCACTGACCTCTCCCTCCGTCAGCTGCACCTGCCCCATAGGAATCCATGATGCCGAGCTACGATCGCTCCTGCAGCTGCGGCCGAGGCCCCAACGTGGAGGACGGCAAGTGGTATGGGGTCCGCTCCTATCTGCATCTCTTCTATGAGGACTGTGCGGGCACTGCTCTCAGCGATGACCCCGAGGGACCCCCGGTCCTGTGCCCCCGCCGACCCTGGCCCTCACTATGCTGGAAGGTAAGGCAGAGGAGCAAGTCCTCTGATTTCTGTGGCTTCATGGAGGAGATGGGACTGAATTTAAGGCTTAGAGGGGAGAAAGAAAAGGAATGGTGTAGTAGTTAGGAGTCTTGCAGTTTCAGGCAATAGAAAAGCTGATTCAAATGGGTTTAAACAATAAAGGGAAAACATTCCTGATTTTTTAGAAGAGACCAGAGGTTTGGTGCCTTCAAGCAAAGTTTGATCCAGCAGTCCAAGCCATTACATTGAGGATTTTGCAAGATTTCTCTTAGTCTTCAGAGTCGCCCTGGTACCCTACCCTTGGAGCCTGTTGGCTTCAGACTTTCCCCAGGTGTTCTCCAAGTGGCTGCTACAGTGCTGATCCTCAGACCTTCACTCCACACCATCCGAGGGAAGCTTCCTCCAGTATTTCCTTCAGAAAAGAAATAATGCAGAGTAGCCAAAAATTAAAAGCACATTACCACTGACATTATCCCCCCGAAAAGAAAAACACTTAGGTGTAAACCTAACAAAATATGTACAATATGACGAAAACTACAAAACTCCAGTGAAAGATATCAAGGAACTAAATAAATGGAGAGATAGTCCATGTTCATGGATAGGAATACTCATTACTGTTAAGATGTTAGTTCTTCCCAACCTAATCTATAGATTCAATACAATCTCTATCAAAATCCTAGCAAGTTAGTTTGTGGACATCAACAAACCGATTTGCCAGTTTATATAGACAGGCAAAAGATCCAGGAGAACCAGAAATTAAAAACACATTGCCATTTACGAGAAACGATGCTTTCATTCCCAGAAGTCCTGACAAGCATTGCATAGGCTCTGATTGGGTCACTGGCCATCCCTGAACTAATTACTAATTATGGCCAGGAGATGGGATACACTGACTGGCGGAAGTCGGGTTCCTCTCACTTAAATCTTACTGTGGTTTTCCAATGATCTACCGTTGCCAGGGCAGTGGAAAGATGTGAGAGAAACCCAATTGAAGTCTGTAACAGCCAGGGACAGTGGTCAGCCAGGGTGCGCCACATGGGTAAAGGTGTGGAGGTGACAATGAGCTGAGTCCCTACGATGAGCATTGCTCTTTGCTAAATACTGTAGGGAGACTGAGGCAGAGGGTCCCTCCTGCTTTCGGACTTCACTCTAGTGGAGAGGTGAGGCACCAATCTGTACAACCTCAGGTCAGGTGTGCAGAGGATGCCAGGAGAGGAAACAGTCTCAGTGCCTGGGGTGATCAGGGAAAACTTCAGGGGAAGATGAGTACATATTTAAAATTTTTAAGCAGGATCTGGGTGTGGCAGCTTATGCCTGTAATTCCAGCAACTCAGGAGGCTGAGGCAGGATGATTGCTTGAGGCCAGGAGTTCAAGACCAGCCTGGGCAACGTAGTGAGACCCCATCTTAAAAAATGATAATAATAGGCCAGGCGCGGTGGCTCACACTTGTAATCCTAGCACTCTGGGAGACCAAGGCATGAGGATCGCTTGAGGTCAGAAGTTAGAGACCAGCCTGAGCAAGAGTAAGACCCATCTCTACTAAAAATAGAAAAATTAGCCAGGTGTGGTGGCTCATGCCTGTAGTCGCACCTACTTGGGAGGCTGAGGCAGGAGGATCGCTTGAGCCCAGGAGTCTGAGGTTGCTGTGAGCTAGAATGACGCCACAGCACTCTAGCCCAGGCAACAGAGCAAGACTCTGTCTCAACAACGATAACAACAAACAATAATAATAATAATAATAATAACGTAGCCAGGTGCGGTGATGAACACTTGTAGTCCCAGCTACTCGTGAGGCTGAGGCAGGAGGATCACTTGAGCCCAGGTGTTTGAGGCTGCAGTGAACTACGATCACACCATTACACTCCAGCCAAGGTGACAGAGAGGGACCCTGTATCTAAAAAATAAATAAATAAATTTTAAGCATCTTATTGCCAGGCACTATGCCAGGCTTTTGTGGACACAGAATTTAAGAAGACATGGTCCCTGGGGAGGGGTATTTGTATACATAAGGAGGGCAATGCGCACTACCCGAAGGATGGACATATTTCAAACACGGACTTGGGGGGGGGAACCAAGGGCAAACACACGTAACCTAAACATCTGTACTCCCATAATTTGCCGAAATAAAAAAAAAAAAAAAAAAGAAGACATGGTCCCTGTGCTTAAGGAACACCTAGCTGTGGTTCATTTAGTCATTCAGCAAACATTTATTCAGTCTCTGTTCTGTGCCAGTACTGTGCCAGGCGCAAAAGACACCTAGTAAGCAAAAACAGGCCCAGTCTCTGCTCTCACAGGGCTCTCAGTCCTGGGGGACAGGCAGACATTACTTAAACGGTAACCAAAATACAAGTCCAAGTGTGCACCAAGGTGAGTGCATTGAAGAATGAACGGGCATGAAGTCTGCACAGAGTGCAGAGCAGGGGACCTGACCCAGTCCAGGGATCTCCTCCCTGAGGAGGTGAGGTTTGAGATGAGATCTGGCAATGCATAAGAGTAGAGAAATAGAGGGTAGAAAGGATAAGGGGATAAGGTGGGACCCAATAATGATGGAGGGGCCTCAAGGTTGGCCAGAGAAACCCACTGTTAGGAGGGAGCTGGGAAGGAAGTTAACCAAGAGGCCTCCAGATTCCAAATAGAATTGGGTGTGGTCGTGTGCACCTATAGTCCCAGCTGCTCAGGAGGCTGAGCCCAGGAGTTCAAGACCAGCCTGGGCAACATAGAGAGGCCATCTCAAGAAAAAAAGGAAATTAAAAAAAAAGATTCCAAATAGAACATGACAATTTATGTCCCCTGGCAGTTAGACCCCAGCAGGTATGTTCTATGATTTCTGTCTCTCCAGTTTGGATCAAGGGGTTCCCTTTAAGTGCAGTTGGGATCCAAGGCCCCTGCCTGACCCTGACTGCCTCTGTCTGCCTCTCCCCAGATCAGCCTGTCCTCAGGGACCCTGCTTCTGCTGCTGGGTGTGGCGGCCCTGACCACCGGCTATGCAGTACCCCCCAAGCTGGAGGGCATCGGTGAGGGTGAGTTCCTGGTGTTGGATCAGCGAGCAGCCGACTACAACCAGGCCCTGGGCACCTGCCGCCTGGCAGGCACAGCGCTCTGCGTGGCGGCTGGGGTCCTGCTGGCCATCTGCCTCTTCTGGGCTATGACGGGCTGGCTGAGCCAGGACACCAAGGCAGAGCCCTTGGACACTGAAGGTGATGGCCACATGGAGGTCTTTGGGGACAAGCCAGAGCAGCAGCTGTCCCCCATCTTCCGCGATGCCAGTGGCCAGTCATGGTTCTCGCCCCCCGCCAGCCCATTTGGGCAGTCTTCTGTGCAGACCATCCAGCCCAAGCGGGACTCTTGAGCTTCCCATGAGGCCAGAGGAGGAGCCAGACCTGGGGTCTGGACCCTTCCTCCTCCCCACCACACCCCGCCCTCTCATTGTCTCCCCATCTTCTCCCTTCCAGCAGGGCCCTTTTATCTAAGCCCCCAGAAGGCCCATCTCCAGGTCAAGCCTGGAGCTCAGATCCCTGTGCCCCTTCCGCAGGGGTAGGGCCCAACGTATCCAAGATGTCAACTTCCCTCAGGTCCAGACTGCCCACCCACCCCTCCTTCCCAAGGCCCTTCAGGGGCAGAAGATGCCTCCCTCAACCCATCCCCACTCTTCCTCCGTGTGACCTTGGGCAAACCCCTTACCCTTTCAAGCCATCAGGTCCTGCCTGTCTGCTGCGAGGGGTTTGGACCACATTCTGGAGTTCTGTGATGTTCCTATTCGCCCAGGATATATGCGCCACCCTCCACAGACAGAGGTGGGAGGGGCGATCATTCTCCCACCAGGCACCTCACTTGGACTGCCCCTCCAGGACGGTGTGAGAACGTGGACCCTCGCGGTGTGCTTCCTACCTGGGTTTTGGCATCAGAGCCCCACAGCTCACCACCGAGGGCAGTTACTAACCCCAGCTTACAGGGGGTGATGGAGGCAGGGAGGTGATATGTCCAAGCTCACACAGCAAGGCTAGAACCCATGTCAGGCTCTTCCTGGGCCAGTTCTAGTTCTGCAGCTGGAGCAGAACCCCGCACGTCTTGGTTCCCAGGGGATCCCCATGGCAGAAGACAGGTTGGGCCCAGAGAGAGTAGCTGGTAGCCTGATGGCCCCACGTGGCTGCAGAGATACGTTGGATGTGGATTGAAAGGGTCTCTAAGAGCCAGAGGGCAGGAGAAGTGGGATGTCTTTGCCCTTCAAAGTCCACCCACCTAGGAACCGACAGGGACAGGCCCTGACCCTGACCCTGATGACAAATGTGCCCTCTCCAGGGACACCAGTCCCTTCCTCCTACAGGCTCCCCAGCCAGAGGCGTCATCTCTTCTCGGTACCAGTAGGGGGAGCTCCAAGGCAGCTGGAGAGAAGCCTCAGGGCTCCCGCCCCGCCCCTCTCCCTAGGTCTCCTCCAGCCTGGAGGGCTTGGGGGAGGGTCCTCAGTCCTCCCTCATTAGGCCAGACTCTCCGTCCTTGTGCCCCACGCGCCCTCCCCACCCTGCACCCCCCCATCCCACCTTCCCTTCAATAAACAGCTGGGATGGATGTTGACTTTGCTTCCTTTCTCCCTGACGCTGGGGCGTGGGGCGGGAAGAAAAAAAACAGACTGTTATGAGCACCTACTGTGTGCTGGGCACTTAAATCCACTATTTCTCATTTGCTCCTGAGGATAACCCTTTGAGGGAGAGACCATTGTGTTCGTTTCACAGATGCAGTAACTAATGGCCAGAGAGGTGAAGTCCTTCCCTGGCGTGGGGTTCAGAGCTAGCCAGGTCAGTCCATTGCCTGACAGTGTGGCACTCCTGTCCCTGGGCGGGAAGGAGATTCCTCGGCCACCCTGAGAACCTACTGCCCAATCCCTGGGAGGAATGTGAGGCCGGGTGTGGGAGAGGGGCTGGGGTCAAAGGTGGGATCTTTTCCAGGGCCCTATTGGCACTTAGGGGCGCCAGGCCCTGTTCTCAGTGCCTTGCAGACAGGAATTCATTGAACCCTGATGACAACCTATGAAGTGGGGACTGTTAATCCCACACCTGGCTCCTAAATTCCAGACTTGTATTTCCATCTGCATCCACCTGGCTGTTGAATGTCAACTCAACCCGTTCTCCTCCCACACCCGCCCCTGCTGCGCTGTGATGGCCCTGCAATCTTAGACAGTAGCAGCCCCATCCTGCTGGCCGCTCCAGCCAAAACAGTGCAGTCATCCTCGACTCCTCCCTTTCCTCACACCCTGAGTCTAACCCATCAGCAAGTCCTGTTACTCAGCCTTGGACACACAGCCTGTAGCCACCCACCTCTCGCATGCCGCTCCCTGATCTGAGCCACCATCACCTCCCGTTTGGATTATTGCATCAGCCTCACCCTGGTCTCCTGGCTTCTGACTTTTGTGACCCCCCAACTCGCCAAGTCTAATCCCTATAGAGCAGCCAGACAGACCTGCTAGAACTTAAGTTAGGTCATTCATGTTCCTCCTCTGCTCAGAATCCTCCCACGGCTCCCATCTGACTCTCCCCGTGGCCTACAAGGCCCTACACAATTTGCTGACACCCCCTTCCTCTGTAACCTCAGCTCCCATCACTCTCCCTGTTCCTGTCTTCTCTCCAGCCACAGTGGTCTCCACTTGTTCCTCCAACATCAAACCAGGCCCCTGACTCATGCCTTTGCCTAGCGGTTCCCTCTGCTGGTGAGCTCCTGCCCAGCCAGCCACGCGGTCACTTCCCTCGCTTCTTCAAGCCTTTGCTCAAGCATCACCTGCTCAGGGCTCCCCTGAGCAGCCTATTTCAAAATGCAACCATGCACCCATCCATTTCCCTGTTCCCTGTGCACACTGGGTTTTGTTTTTTCCTTTCCCATGGGATTTATCACCTTGCAACATACCATATAATTTACTTACTTGTTATATCACTGTTTGTTACCTGTCTACCCCTGCCACGTATAAGCTCCACGAGAGCAAGAATCTTTACTTGCTTTGTTTACTGATATATCCCAAGTGCCTAAAACAGTGCCTGGCACATAGAAGACACAAAAATAAAAATTTGTTGAGTAAATCGATCTTAGTTTTACAGATTAGGACACTGAGGCTTAGCACCATTTGAACAACTTGCCCAAGGACGCCACGGCTAGTAAGTGGCAGAGCTGGGACTCACACGCAGGGAGTCGGGCTCCAGAGGTCACAGCCCTGGTCTCGACACTACACTGCCCCTCAGTTTGAAGGCCAGAGCTGGAGACTCAGCATGAAGTGCACACGAGTGTACTCAGGTGTTTGTTGCCATGTGGAAACGTGAACACAGTGTTAACAGATTTTTTTTTTTCCTAGAGACATTCAGACTTCTAACCTTCAGAGCTGTGAAAGAATAAATTGCTGTTGTTTGAAGCCACCTAGGTTGTGGGACTTTGTTATGGCAGCCCTAGGAAACTAACATAGGGTATAAATTGTTGCAGCCTACAAGAGAGGCGGTATCTAAATGGAAAATACACATGCCCTTTGAGTCCTCCCTCTTCTGTACCTGTAGGTTAAATTCTACATGTTGGAACACTACAGTGTGGTTCGTAATAGAAAGCATTTGGAAACAACCTTAAGTGCTCATTGGCAAGGGGCTACTTAATAAAGGTGGCACATTCACACACTGGACGCTACGTAAAGAACGAGAAAGCTCTTTATGTTCTGATCTGGACTGATCCCCAAGTTATATCGTAAGGTGAAAAGGTGCAAGGTGCAGAACACTATGACTACTTTTCTACATTTGTGTAAAAAGAATACTTTTGGACAATATTTGGCTGCCTTCAGGGAGGGGACATGAGTGGCTGGGGACAGGGGTGAGAGGGAGACTTTTACCCATTTTTAATTTTGAACTATGTGAATGTATTACATTTTTTAAAGAGATGTATGGGGATTTTTCTTTATGCATTCAGGGAATATTTTACTTATTTTTAAAGACATAGGGTTCAGCATTAGTTTTTTTCCTATATAAAGTTTTTCTGATATAAATGACAGGAAAACATGTTTACATAAATAAATAGATGGGAATGGAAAGATTTACATTATC